GGAGCTTCGCGACAGACTGAAAAAATGAAAAGATTAATGAACAGTTGTGTGAGATTTGTAATTGGTGCCCCGAGATACTACCATGTCTCTCACCACTACACTGAGTTAGAGTGGCTCTTCCCCTCCATTCGAAGACAACATTTCCTGGGTACATTCCTCCATCATATCATCAACAATAATCGTCCTTCCTACGCCTACAACCTTCTCCAATTCAAGTCCTCAGTCCACTCCCTCTCCACAAGATCTCGACCTTCCGACCTTTACATTCCTTCTCACAGATCTGCCTCGTTCCAAAACTCCTTTATTGCTCGTTCTGTTAGTTTCTGGAATTCCCTTCCTATCAAAATTCGACATTCTTCATCCTTATCTACATTCAAAACCCTCCTATTCCTATTCCTGTCCCAAAAACAGTCAGACACCAGCTAACCTTTTATGTAAAATTACATATTATCTATAAGAACATATTCACATATAGCTCATAACCTAAATACTTATTATAGATTCGACTTTCTTTTTTTCTTTTTTTTTTTTTTTTCTTTTTCAATAGAAACAGATTTTACTGTTAAGAAGAATTTACATTTATTTTTTCCGTATTTTTTATTTTTTCTAAAAGGGTTTATTTATATTTTAACATTGTACATAGTTTTAAGTATCTTAGTATGGTATCAAGAGTTATTTATATAGATTTTTTAATTTAATAAAGATATATTTTTTATTTAAATAATTAATTAATTTTTAATTAAATAAAGAATTTTTTTTCTTTTTTTTAATGATCTATCTTTATCTTAACTTTTTATGTTTGTTTTTATCTGGCCAGATATAAAATTTTAATTTCTGTACTTTTTTGTTATTTTCCCTTCGTCTTCGTCCCAGAATAAAATTATTTTTCTATTCTATTCTATTCTATTAATAGTATATTATGTCAGTAGCGGATTCAGGATTTAATTGATTTATTTAGTTATAGACATACCTCACCCAATAAAAGTTTTAAAGGCCACTGACCAAAACTGTGATTTTCACACCATTTGCAATAGAGAATGTATATAACACATTGTAACTCTTCATGTATTTTATCATATATTGTCATTGTAATTCAATAGGTATGAGAACTGGAGCTGTAAGAGTAGTTTTATTGGATTGATGATCAAGAATACTTATCAACAATACCAAACAATATTACTTTTAGAGAAATAGAAATGTACCTTAAAATATAGTATATAAAACATATTAATTATTTAAGTGCTACTTAAAAATATGACACATGCTATTTATATATAAATACGTAAATACTGGTTTATATAAAGATTTAGAGCAGAAACGCCACAATTATGGGGAGATGGGTTTCTCACTTCCAAACTATTCTGAACGAAGAAAAACAAAACAACCTGAATCCAATATCATTCTTAGAGAGAGGTATGCTGAAGACTCCAATAAACCTTCCGATAAAGAGGAAATAACTGATGCTATCGATAAACTAAAGAATAAGAAGGCACAAGTAATTGATAACATGCCAGTTGAGCTGTTCAAACACTGTGGAAGTGAAATGATAAAATTCCTGCAGGAAATGTTAGTGGATATTTTGAGAAAAGAAAGATTACCACCTGAATGGAAGAAAACAGTAATTTGTTCTATTCATTAGAAAGGAGGTATATAAATGTAGTAATTACAGAGGAATCTCACTTCTCTCAAGCACATAATAGATTCCTTCCATAATTTTATTCAACAGACTCCTTCAAGTTGCCGAGCGCGAACTGGGAAAATATCAGTCTGGTGTTCATAAAGCAAAATTACTGATCCAATTTTCACTCTAAACATCCTATTAGAAAAAACAAGGGAATATCAGATTCCAAAGCATCATCTCTTTGTTGATTTTCAATAAGCATATGATTCCGTTAACAGAGATGAGGCCTACAGTGATGGTCAACATGAATATTCCATAAAAGCTAGTTTATCTTGTGGGGATGACGAAGGAGGACAACATAAACTTCATAAGAATGAATGGGAAACACTGAAAGATTTTCCACCGAAACAGGAGTTAGACAAGAATAATAGTCTTACTTTCCTAGTATTCAACCTCTCTCTAGAGAAAGCTATCAGAGACTCCTGGTATCCTGACAACTGGGACCTTAATAAATAAGACAATCTTGGATACACAGATGACCTAGACCTAACTGGAATGATTCTCGACGCAAATAGCTTTCGAGGCGCTAAAACATGGAGCAGCACGACTAGGACTCTTCATAAATGAAGAAAAGACAAAATATATGAGCACACAACCTCAACGTAAAGATGATGAGAGATAAGTTCTTAGCTTTGCTGGGAGGATGGAGTGGCTACAGACGCAACGTCCTTACTTGGTATCCGAAGCTGGAACATAGTGGCAGGAAGCAAAGAGGAATGGCAATCTATAATAGGGCAGGCTTTGACTCAATAAGTGGATCGTAACACCATCTAATAATAATAACAATAACGAAAAATACAGAAGTTAGGTTTTTTTTTGGGTAAAATCTCAGAATTTAAACATAGAAATTACACATTTCCACATAAATTATGATTGTCCCCCCCCCTCCAATCAAGGCTCACCTCCTAGGAGTGTGGACTTTTATTATATTTACTTCTTAACTAGTCTGAACAAAGAACCCAAGTTAAAAATTGCGTTCCTTCCAATTCCTAGTTCCAACTATTCCAATAGTTATAAATCTGAAATTAATGTGTAAATGTGTAAATTCTGATTTTACACAAAAAAAACCTAACTTCTGTATTTTTCGTTACTGTTATTATTATTAGAAGGTGTTACGATCCACTTATTAAGTCAAAGCCTGCCTAATTATAGATTGCCATTCCTATTTGTTTCCTGCCGCTACCTTCCAATTCTGGATACCAAATAGGGACGTTGCATCTGTAGCCACTCCACCCTCCCAGCAAAGCTTAGGACGTTTAACTTTTCTTGTTCCACATACACGCTCTGAAAAGGCTTTATATGAAATCTCATTTGGTTCCATCCTAGCAACATGGCCCTTCCAACGAAGTCTTGATAACTTTATTAAGGTGTATACACCAACATCTCCATATACGGTTCTTAATTAAGCATTATTTCTCCTTCTGCATGTGCCTTGTTCACAGACAACACCATTTACTCTTCTCAACACCTTTCTCTCGAATCTGATAAGGACTTGTTCTGGACATTATCCACCATTTCGACCCATATATAATTAACCATTGGAAAAGCATTTTGTATATTCTTGTCTTGGCATCCTTTTTAACAGCTTTTGGAGGGCAAAATATGTGCCGTTTACTAGGAGTATTTCCCTTAGTATTTCTTCCTCTATATTATTGTGTGGGTTCCTAGATAGATGAATGATTGCACCCTATATTGAATCTATGTTTTTCCAACAGAACTCATCTCTCATCATCTTCATGTTTATAATCGTGCTGCTGCATGTTCGAGCCCCTCGAAAGCTATTCTTACTGCGTCGAGAGTCCTTCCAGTTAAGTCTAGGTCATCTGCGTATCCAAGGACCCGCATTGTCTTATTTATTAAGGTCCCAGTTGTCAGGATACCAAGAGTCTCGAATAGCTTTCATAAGAGAGAGGTTGAATACTAGGCAAGCAAGACTATTCCCTTGTATAACTCCTGTTTCAGTAGAAAATTCTCTCGAGTGTTGCCCATTCATCCTTATGAAGCTTATGTTGTCCTCAATCGGCATCCTCACAAGACAAATCAGTTTTAATGGATTATTGATATTGACCATCACTCTGTAGGATACACCCTTATATCGCATAAATTAGAAAAACTTAAATAAGTCGGAACGCAATGGCATAATCTTAAATTGGAGGTCATTTTCAAAATGTACGGCTCCGGAAACATAAGAATACACTTTTATATAAAATAAATTCGAAAAAATTAAATATGTCGAAACGCGGTGGCGTAATCATAAAATAGAGGTCACTTTCAAAACCTACGGCTCCGGAAACACAAGAATAAACCCTTATATCGAATAAATTCAAAAACATTAAATAAATCGAAACGCAGTGGCATAATCTTAAATTGGAGGTCATTTTCAAATGTACGGCTCCGAAAACATAAGAATACACCCTTATATCGAATAAATCCGAAAAACTCAAATAAGTCGAATCGCAGTGGCATCCATCTTAAAATGGAGGTTATTTTCAAAAACTAGGTACATGATAGCATAATACTAGACCCTAATAAATCCGAATAGGTACAATAAATCGATATCCGTAATTGTAACATAAAATCGATAGTATTTTGAAAAACTCATTTTAGGGGAGCATAACAATAGACCTTCATATTGGAGGGGGAGATGGCCAGTATTAAAAAAAAAGAATCAAAAATTCGAAACATTAATTTGAAATGGAAACGATTGAATTTGGATTGGAAAAGGTTTAATTTGAACTGAAAATGGTTGAATTTGACTAGGAAAAGGTTGAATATGACATGGAAATATTATACTGAAAAATCGAAATAAATGAATATGCAACCGCGTTATCATATCTTTTTTATATCTTTTAAAAGCAATGCCTTTGATAATATAGTAAGTGGCCTTCATTTCAAAAATTGACAAAAATTCGAAAGTTGAATTTGAAATGGAAAAGGTTGAGTTTGATTTGGAAAAGGTTGAATTTAAAAAGGAAAAGGTTTAAGTTGACTTGGAACGGTTGAATTTGATTTGGAAAAGGTTGAAATTGACTTGGAAATGTTATATATTAAATCTTAGCATGGTTATATGCGAGCAGTCATTTTCCCCCCTTCCCCCCTCCCCCCGGTTAACAGGTTAATAAAAAGTGTATTAAAGCATTTATATCTATTATTGCTTTGCAATAATTTATTGTCAAATTTATAAAATCTAATAAAATGTATGTATATATATTATTCTCAATAAAAAAAAAAAAATCATAGAATAATTTATAAATAAGTAGAGCATAATTTTTTCAATTAAGACACTTAAGGAATCATTTCTAAAACAAATATAAATTACCTGTGTGCAGTATTCACGAATTATGTGTCGAGGTTTATGATGTTTATTACTACGAGCTGTGAAGAAACAAAGCTGGCACAGATCATACTGAATACACTGAAGACAATGGTATCGTAATCCAACTATAGGAAGTATACCGCAAGCAGAACATTGAACATTGTGATTCACTAAAAATACATAATATAAATAAATTAAACAATTGAGAAAGCTTAAAGATTAATAATATATATATATATATATCTCAAATTTTAACTATACACCCATCGCTGACGGATGTATAGTTAAAATTTGAGAATCTTTTTTGGAGATGGATTTTGTATTATGGGGGAATCCAAATTTAATTTCATTGAAATTTTTTTAGGGGGTTTATGGAAGTCAAGGTTTCGCAATAGTCATAATAAAGACTTTGTTTTTGAGCTATTTGTTTAGATGCCACACAACTAAACCGATTACCACCGATCCATTAAAATTTTTAAAGTGTTTAATTTTCATTTATAATGAAGTGAGGAGATTGTGGAGTCAGTTGAAATAATAAAAAAAGAATGGTAGTCTCTCCACTTTTTTAAACTCTAATAAGATATTGCTGGCAAAATAACATTGAGTCACCTACATCCGAGTAAAATTAGAACTTGATCTGAATATTGTGGCAGGCGGGGTGAAATTTTTGGGAGTATTTGTTTCTGATTTCTGGCTAATCCGTTTGGTTAATGATAAAAATGTATATGACAACAGTTGTTAGGCTTGGAAAGTTGAATCGAATGACAGCTTGAACGGGGTTGGAAGATCGAATAAAGTTGCAAAATGAGTATGTTTTAAGCACCAACGCGATACAGATGTTTGGGATTTTGGATTTTTCCCGTTGAGTTGTAATAATTTTTTTCATCAGTTGAATGGTACAACTTCTAAATGTGGCTCACGGTAGAGTAGGTTGGGATGAGAATCGAAGTAAGTAACTGCCTAACTGGGATCTATAGACAAATTAAAATTATCTCTAAAGGGATTATATTAAAGGGATTTCTAGACAAATAGCCAAATAACAAAGTGTTTATTATGACTATTGTGAAATCTTGCCTTCCATAAGTCCCCCATAAAATATTTCAAAACAACCCCCCTCCTACCTAATTTTATGAAATTAAATAAGGATCCCTCCCCCATAATACAATATCCATCTCAAAAAAAGATTTTAAATTTTAACTTTACACCAACATATAAGTATATCAGCTAGTTGTAAAATAAATTGTTCAAAGTATTATATTATTGGGATTAAGAGAGAGAGAGAGAGAGAGAGAGAGAGAGAGAGATTTAATTTTTTTATTATGTTATCATAATTTTAAAAAAAAGTTTTGATGTTGCAACAAGTAATAAAATTAAGTAAAAGCAATGAATCACCCAGTCAGGACATCATATATGAGGTCTTCAAAAATTTAACCCCTGAATGGAAATATTACATGTTAAATCTTTTGGTACTTATCTAGTAATGGGTAGCGTCAAAACCTCCTTTCTTATCTAATCTCATTTCAGATAACCCCCCTTATCTCATCTAACCTAAGTTATTCTGTTGTTTAGTTTTTGTTTCTTGTGCCAGGTGTGAGTTTATTTAATTATGGATTTTGTACATTGTGGGAATTGCCGTCTTCAGAAGAAGAGGCTATCAAATATTTTCAAGACGCCGGTATATTTGATAAGGTGAAATATTGTGATGAGGGTCATAAAATGAACTTCGACGGGAAGATTAAATGGAGATGCTTTCATAGGTGTAACAAAACCGTTTCCATAAGGAAAGGAACGTGGTTAGAGGGGTCGAGGATTTCTTTTTTAACGGCTTTAAAATTCATTTATGGGTGGTCCCATAATTTAACTACAATATAGTGGGGAAAAGAGCAGCTCAAACTATCCATCGGAACTGTAGTAGCATGGAACAAATTTTTAAGAGAAGTTTGTGCCAATGACATGTTATACAGGTCGAATAAAAAAATTGGAGGGCATGGCAAAGTCGTCGATAAACGATAGAAAAGCAACAACTTTATTAGAAGCTATTAAAAACAATGTAGAAGAGGGAAGCACCATTTATTCCAACTGTTGGAAAGGATACAGCACCAAACAACTCAATGAAGCAAACTACAATCATTTTCAGGTCAATCACAGGTATAATTTTGTTGATCCATCAAGTGGAGTCCATACTCAACATATTGAACGATTATGGGGCTCAGCTAAGTGGAGAACTAAAAAACACAGAGGAACTGCCAGATAACACCTGGATTCATATTTATGTGAGTTTTGTGGCGGTGGGCGCATAGAGATCAGAATCCCTTCCTCGCTATTTTAAATACCATAAAATTATTTTCCCTACCAAAATAAAATTTTTTATATTTTGTTTCTATCGTTTCTTCATAATGTTTGTTTTATATGTACATATGCTGTTTAAGTAGTTTTTTATTATTTCATTTATTTTTATATATATGTTGCAATGTTTTTTAATTATATATTTATGTCTATTTTAATATATACGTTGTAAAATAAAAGCATTTTGTTATTATTACATTTGTTTCTGTTTTTGTTGACAATTTCAATAATATCAATACAATACAATAAATACGAATACGAACATATAATAATATGAATATAATACAATAAATATGAATACGAAGAGCTTATCAGTGTTAAGGTTATAAACATTGGCAGATAGCAGTCGGACGCTACCTGCTATTAGATAAGTACCAATCTTTTCAATTATATTATGGAAACCGAGAAACTGCCAGGTGCCTGATCAAAATAAAACTTAATTTTGATGCACAAAAAGGGTGAAAAAACAGATTTAAGTAACTACAGCGGGATCTCACTGATAAATAACATAACTAAGTTATTTACAGACATTTTAGCTCATAGGTTTCAAGTTTGGACTGAAAGTGAAAACCTAATTTCAGAAGAACAAATAGGATTTCGAAGAGGCAGATGTGCGTTGAACAAATTTTCTCACTGATGTCACTGATCGATATTAATCTCCAAGTGAAGGGAAGCTATGACTCCATTAACCATGATCTGCTTTGGAAAAAGTTGTTTGATTTCGGTATCAGTGGGAAGATAGTGAGACTTCTTAAGCCTTGTGGATACAGCACCAATGCAAATAAAAATTAGGAATGAGATGTCAGAAAAAATAAAAATCAGATAGGATTACAAGGTGAAACTTCAAGCCCGATTCTATTTATTAAATTCGCCTCAGACATTATATCTTACTTTGAAAATAGTGGTGCATCTGGTTTACCTATAGATGTCAAAAATGAAGTTCTAATGCTCCTATTGGCAGAAAACATTGTAATGTTAAGTAACTTGTGATATAGCACCCAAAAGAAAGTTCAGATCCTTGAACGGTATTGGGCACTATATTCCCTGGTCTTAAATCCAGAAAAATCAAAAGTTCTGGTATGCCATAAGTCACTGCAAATGAACTAATTGAAGTCCCTGTTTTAGCAAAATAAACTTCTGGGATTTACAAAATGTTATAACTACTTAGGAGTTCCATTTTCAACATCGGAAAAATTTTCTAAGGCTGCTGAACAATTTATTAAGAGGTCAAATGTTGCAGGAGCAAAAGTAAGTGGGATTTTAATAAGAGGAAATAGCAATTGACTCATCTCTGAACATTAATATATCTGTTTAACCATTCACCAAACAACTTCTAGTAAGTTGACATGAAAAAAAAATATACCTCTTTAAACCTAAAAGGGTTAATCCTCTGGATTAAGAAACCAAAGGAGCACCTAATTGTGAGGAAAGAACACAGTGTCCTTCCAGAATGACCATTTGTAATAATAGAATAATAAAAACCTAGATAATAAACTAGTCATTAGCAGGACTTATTAATGATAACAATTTGTTTCAAAGTTCATAAAAATCTGGTTGTTTATTTCCAATTTTTATACTTTCATTTATCTATTTATGAAATGTACCGTGATCGTGAAAATTTTCATATTCGAGTTTTCTCAGTGACCAAAAAACTAACTCAAGTCAAAGTCGCCAGTCCGCCATCTTTGGATTCCATTTTGAGGCAGTGCGTTCACTTTTTTTTCGTTAGAACATTGGCTTTTTACTTTCACTTACCTATATATGTAATATATAGGGGTTAAGTATTGGGATCCTGAAAATTTTTGAACCTGAGTTTTCAACAGAAATACACGTTTTGAGATCCCCTTGAGTCCAAATAGCTATTTCTTGCAAAATGGTCTGTGTGAGTGTTTGTAAAAAGTCTAGTTCCAAAAAAAAAAATGTGTATGCTACTGAAATGAAATAGCATACCTAACATTGGAAAATCTCTGAGTGCCCGGATATCGTGGTAATCACAAGAATTCGTTTATCAAACCCTTATTGTCCTTCTGCTACCTTTTTACCTGCCCCTGACCCTTACAACCATAACTTTTGGAATTGCTTGGAAAATTGTTGTGGCACACTCCTTGCAGTGCACGCCCACTTGTGTTACTTTTAGTTTTTCTTGAATATTTTTGGTATTTATGGTTGAATTGAAGTTGTTAAAATGTCATGTGTGTGGAAGGAAAAAGAAACATTATGTAAACATGTTCCAAGTGTAAAAAAAAAACACATGCAAAGCCCATCTTATTATTGAGCCTGTGTGCATTTTGTGTCATCTGTAAGACTAATCTGATTACGATTAATTTGAATAGGTGATTAATTTGTTGCTTTTAATATTTTAGTTGCTGCATTTTTTTTTTATTGCTTTTTATAGTGAACTTCTGTTTTTTTGTAATCAAACTTATGTTTTATGTTATCAAGTATACATAACTTATATATATTTTTTATCGACAGATGTAACCTATTAAATTAAAGTTCATAAAATATTTTTATATTTATTTTATGTGATATGTTCTGTGTTAAATTCAATATAAAAAAAATTAACATCTTTGTTTTCCTATCATAAAATTAAGTTAAAAACACAAAAAATAAGTTACAATACTTTTATATAGATAAATACTATTAGAAATTGAATGAATACATATTAATATACAAAATATTAAATTTAGAATTTAAATAACAGAAAAAACATTAATCATTACCAAAAAGGCATCCACTCAACAAAGATCAACATCAAAATTTACAAATCCTTATTATATAAAAATTTATATAAAATAAAACACATCACAGCCCGTTGAACGAC